CTCTGGATGCTCTGAGTGCTCTGGCCGCATGATTTCACACTTGTCTCGCACTTGTCTCCCAGTAAGCTCTGGATGCTCTGAGTCACAACCTGGATCCATAAATTTCATGTTTTAGCCCTTGTACGGCGTCCCATTGTAAAGTCAATGAAAAACAGAATTTTATTGTTTTCCCTTTGAATCTTGTATGTGCGTCTACATGGTGGACTACAGTTTTCTTCCTCTAGGAAATACTGCTGGCCATATTGTTCGGAGATCTCATTTTTGAACATTGCTTTGTTTGGGGTCTACGCTGGTATAATTACTGTACATGTCTCATGCTGTCCGTTGCAGACTCACACAATGGGGTGTGCCTTAGTTAAATATTTGGGGTATACCATACCTGTTGGAATATTTAATTTGGAATACTTTTTCCAGAATATTTTATTCTGCAGGTATGCGATCCCCCCCGTTCAGCTCCTCTGAATATTTTCAGATCTTGAAACATATGGAAAATTAGTGATCATTACCAAGTAGCTTAGGATACCGTTGGGAAAATATACAGCCAAAGGTGTGTATACCCTGGAATGTCTATAGTAAGGACATGTATAGATATACCCTGGAAGATCAGTTTTAAGGACACATGCAGAAACGATGGTCTTTGACGGCTGAAAGATGCTGAAAGGCGATTCACTTGCGCGACCCATTAAGCAGGCAACTGCACTGGATCATGTTAGTTGCCTTACTTGGTTGCTAAACGGTTGAAGTATCCTGCAATATATAGTTGCTACATAAAAAAATATTCCAGGACGTTTGAAGCTCCTGGAATCATGGTTGCTATGAAGCAACGACCCCAAAAGGAATATTACACACATATTCCTGCAGGTATCCACGGTATAGGGTATCCAAGGGGCCCCCCATCTCACAGACGCATGGTGGGTGGTTTTTGTGTCATGAGCCTTGCAGAAATGGGCGGCAAGGGTGGGCAAAACACCAGGGACCTCCGGACAACAAGCATGCCGTCTTTGTTTTCTCGGGGTTTTCCACACAAAAAGGCTCTGGACTGATTGCCGGCTTATGTACGTGAAACTGCCCTAAGAATCTGGGCCCTCAAACAGATAGGGTTTGGTTCGGGCCCGGACCCTTAGAGGGTCCGACCTTTGCTCGCAGGCGCTCGCGCTCAGTGCTGATGGGCTTAGGCCGGTGTCGAACGCAGATGGGCTCAGCGCTCCAGCGGAAAGGCTGAATCCACTGGACTTGGTGGCGCTAGCGCTGGAGGTCAGACTGATGGGGGGAGCAGGTTGGAAGATGATCGACTCAGAAGGTCAGAGAGGTCCAGGACGGACTGGAAGATTTGGTGTAAGTATACCTCCCCTAGGGCCCTAGGGATCCAAGTACCTTCTCAGAAGGCACTTGGACCCTCCACAGCCACCCCAAACACTTTCTGAGAAGGTACTTGGATCCCTATAGGGCTCACAAAATCGGTCACACCCAAGGCCAGGGACTTGGACGGACTGGAGGAATGCCGCCCATTCCTCTCTCCAGGCCCCTCGTCTCGCTGCGCTGCCGCCCCGTGTGAGCTCACCCATCTCGCGGGCCTCGGGGGCGACATGGCCGGGAGCCGACGTCGCGGCCGTGGTGCTACATGGGGCAGCTGGGCTCCAGCTGTGCCGGGCCAGCAACTCCTCTGGGGTGCGGGGACTCAGGTGAATTGGAGGAATGGGCCGTTCTTGATGGTGGAATTGGCCTCTCAGAGATGGATGACCAAGCTGATGCTGTAAAGCGCCCGCAGCATGAAGCAGTGCTGGTGAAAGTATTTGTTTGGGGGTGCTTTGCAGCAAAAATCGTGAGAAAATACTGGGCACCCGAGCAGAGGCTAAGATTCATCTCCAAGGAGGTTTCCTTGATTGATTTGATCTTGATTGCAAAGTAGTGTAGACTCGACCGTTGATCATTGGATTGCATCAAGAGTCTACATTAAATCATTAGGGCAATGATGGGGGTGGACATGCGCTGACGTGATTTTGTCACCACACCACACTGGCCGTTCCCATCCATGAAAACGAGGACTTTGAGGTCGCCGGTTGGATCCTGTGGTTTGATGACCATGGTGATGAGACGATCCCACATCTACCCCCTTGTTGAACTCGTGCACCACCAGTTCAATCCCTCCAGCTTTTGGCCTGTCTTACCTTCAGATCTCGATGCTTGAGAGACCTCTCAAGCGACTTCTACTCCTCTTCGGCAGGAGCTCAAGTTCGACTTCATTTCCAGTCTCAAGCCCGTGGGTCTTTTGCCGGAGATCACTGCCTTGTTCTTTTGCAGCTCCTGCGGCAGCGGCGGCCAGGGCAGCGTGCTGTGGACGTTAGGGCCTCAAGGGCAGTTGAGTGCCATCGGTTTCGAGTCGGGTCGAGTGCTGGCGACCTTCCAAGCTGCTGGGGTGCCTTGGATGTTTTTGTTTTTTCACGGGCGACGGTGAAATCTGTGAAGATGTTGGTTGGGATGGTTTGGATTTGGGATGTTTGGGATGGAGGTTCAGGAGGATGATGAACCATCAGCATTGGTTCTAGGTCCTTTTCAGAGATGATTTGCAAGCAAAATTGAACACTAACAGCTTGACCAATATCAAGGCTCCTGCATCCGTTTGCTCAAATATCGCGCAGCCTGCTTGGGTCATCACCCAGGGCTTGAGCAAGTTGGAGGCCTCACGCCTAAACCCGTCAAACATAGTGATTCCTTTCCAGGACATATTTTAGAAGCACGGCCCTGGCGCCGAGTGAGTGATTACAAGCGTTGGTGGAGTCTTTTCAATAGCGGTTCTCCAAAATAGGCGATCACCAAAGATGGGAACCTCGGCAGAACTTCAATCCCGTAACGTCGCCAAGAACCATTTGGTATACCGGTCCCTTGTTTTCACTTGTAGAAGAAGATGTATTCCAGAGCCTTCACCATCGTAGATCTCTTCCCCCTAAAACCGGGACCTGACCTGACCAATGGATTCACCTTCTTTGCTGCTGACCACGTCGCCCATGAAGCTGACCACGACTTCGCCTCCGGTTCGATGTCGCATCGCCATCGCTTGGGGGAGGACCGGTTCGGACCATGTGACGTCTCACCGGCATGTCCGTGGTGATTCGTTCGCGTAACGTAACGTAACTTGCAACGACAGCAAAAACGGCCACACCCAATTTGCCGGCATTTTTCGTGGTGAATTTTTTTCGGTAAAGAAATCAAAGGCCAACTAAGTCATGGGGGGTTTCTGACCTGAGTTTTGCTGTTAGCGAGTAGTGCTAAGAAAATAGGTAGACGGCGTAGACTCCGTAGACCCGTCATGGCCCATCGAGTGTTTGCATGTGCTCTTTCGGAGTCGGAGTGGCTTTGTTTGTAAAGCTAATCCGTTGGATTCTTTCATATTCTTTCCCTACGTTCGTCCAGTCTGACCCAGTAAAACCTGGTCTTTTTAACCCCTTCAAGTATTGGTTTTGTATGACCATCTCCAGTCAAAAGGGCTCTTTGACTTGTAGGCCCTACATCTGGTGGCACATCTGGTATTGATTAGCTGGCATACTTGTCGGCCAAGGATCTAGCTGCCGACGGGAGCCCGAACTTGCTGACTGGCAATAGCACTCATCTGCTTCTGGTGACCGTGGGGTCATCGTCAGCGCCGGCCATTTTCTCCATTCCACATCCAGTCTTAGACTTTGGTTAATGCACAGGCGACAGTCCACCGACGATTCTTACCAAAATGCCTGGGAAGGCTTCTCCCACTGCTTGATTTACATTGAGGCTGCGCATCAAACCATCGGAAGAGCCATCCTTTTTTTCCTCTTCTCATGTGGCAAGTCCAAGAAGTCTTCACTGGCCTTCCAAAGCTGAGAAAAATGTACAGGAACATCAGCTGAATCCCGAAGTTTCACGAACTCATTGTCATATGACAATCCCGAAATCGTAGTGCCACAGAGCCTCGAACTAGTTCGCATGGACGAAAACGCCCTGTATCCCAGAGATGGGCTGGAGGTCGCGAGAGCTTGGAATCGAGACCAACGCCTTCATGGTTCGTGTCAACGAGGCACTAAACCAAATCCCTCCTCACTGCCCACACAATCCCACAGACACCACCCGCCAAGATGCAACTCACCTGACACGTAATATGAGTGAGCCATTCGCCAAGCGAACCAAATCAACCATACTTCCTGGTTACTTACTCCCACTCTGGCATGCACCGGCAGTCCTGATGCCGAGAGAAGAGCTCGGCATGCGAGGCAGTCGACCGCCGTGAAAAGTGTGCAGGGCAAGCGTCCCAGCGGCCCCCGGGGTTGATGATAGAAAGGGCGTTCAAAGTACGTTTATATATCTCTCTTCTTTTCTTAAATGCTGCGTGATGAAAATTTGTTTGTATCTACTGAATCTACTTGAGCATCCCTCCCCCGTGTCATTGCAGTAGCGCCTTTTAGGGACCACCGAACAAGATTGAGGGCCTGGTTTCCACCGGCCCATAGCAGGGGTCCGCAGGGGAATGTTGGGGCGGATTTGCCTGCTTGCAGAAACCATGCAGTGACACTCTCAGCAACCTGGAGGAGTTTGGAGGAAAAAGGCACTTGAGCTAAAGCTTTCCCAAGGGTTTTTATCGCCTGTTCTCCGTCCAGGTGTGGCGCCCTTATCTGTCCTGGATCATCCAGCAGAACTGGAGGCTGAGAGTTGCGACCCATCAGCGACCGGTGCTGTGGTTAGAAAGGCCAAGAGATCCAGACCTGTGTGTTTGTGTTTTTGCTCATTCTTGCGAAGGAATGGTTGCCGGCGTCGTCTTATGTCGTCTTCAACGATTCCAGGTCACTCGAAATTGGGTGATCCTGTGATCCACGACCCGCCAACGAGAAAGCTCTCCAGGCACTGGGCGTTCGCGCTGTGGTGAACCTTTGCGAGGAGTATGCGGGGCCCAAGGCGGGCTGAGATTGAACTCAGGACCAGACGCCTTGCAGTCCATCAGACCCCCCCACCTGCGGTCCATTCCCCAAGTCGATTTTCACTCATGAAAAGGAGCCGATTACTGGGCAGCTCATGAAAGATGTCGATCCTGTATGATCTTGTGAATTGGATCAGTGACTGATATACTGTAATCAGTGCATGGACAGTTTCCTGGAGTGGATTGTGCTCATTACCTCATCTTTCCAGATCGTGTGACACTCATCCATGGCAGGGTTCCACTGCAGATCCTGCCAATCAATTCTCTGGGCTTGTTTTTTCCGCATGAAACCATTCAGCCTGAGGGGTTATATAAGCCATGGGAGGCAAGCCTCCCAGGGCTTCTGCACTCTGTCGCACCGACACCAGGCTGAATACGCATGCCTCAAGATCACTCAACTTTGGCTGCCGACGGTGGACCATCAGCCACCCAAGGTGAGTGATCTGTGCAAGGCTGGAAGAAAGATGGGACGACTCTTGAGAAGTCTAGATGTCGATGTAGACTCTTGCTGCTATTTCAATCCCCATATGAAAAAGGTTCTATAGAATCCCAATGGCTTCCATGTTCCATGTTCCATGCCGTTCCTCCCTCCACCGCGGAGCCGGGAGAAAGCATGTCCAAGTCATTCCATGTGTGTCACCGAAGTGGGCAGGCCGTGGCCCCCTTCTTGTTCCTTATTCTTCTTCGAGTTGGCAGGCTGTGGCCTTCATCAATGCCCACCGCATGATGGGACGCAAGGTCTACATCCATTGCAAGGCCCCGACACCAGACGAAGGTCTGAGATGGTAGTTTTCAAGAGTTGCGTGGATCAGTCAAGATCCTGAAGTGACCAGGCTCACCCTGCAAAGGGTGGACACTCAATGAAGTTCCTTTTTGAATGAACATCTGAATGTTTACCATATCAACTTCAACTACTCTATAAATGAATATAAATGACTTGATATCTTTTCTTTGCGTTGTCAAGCCTTTTTCTTCCAGATCCTCTGCTCAAGCTTCAGCACGTTCCGCCACGATGACGCTTGTCCAAGCGCTTCTGCTTGGGGCATTGCACTGGGCTCCAGCTTTGGCCTTCTTTCGGGAGGCCCAAGCAGTGACCGGAGCGGTGGTGAAGGATGCCGGGAACTTGACCATGGGTGGGAAAATCGGAACCTACACCGTGCTGCTCCAGGTACTGAACCCTGGCATGGGCGACCTCACCTTGTTGCTGGAATGTTGTGGAGCTGCGGCTCCTTTGGCGGGTGAGATCGCTGCCAAGGTGAACACCAATCAGTTCACTGGCACGGGCAGTGGGCCGGAGGAGCAGATCAAGGCGGAGTATGTGGGCGAGGACAAGTGTAGTGCACCTGGCCCGCTGGACACCTTGACCAGACAAGGAGATCCCACCTGCAACTATATGTACGCCTTCAAGAACAAGGAGTGGGATGGAGTGGGTGGTTGTTTCGTTGTATTCTTCCTCCCTCTTTGCCAATGGTGAATGGGTGTGAATGGTTGGCGGCGGCTCTAAGGAATCATCATGAACCAGGAGTCAGAAGGGGGGTGGTGTTTAGTGGAAGTGAGTGGATCATGGGCACCCCTAACCTCCATTAAGCACCCCTTTGTGACTGCTGGAATATGTTCCTTTTTTGGGGGGGTGGAGGGAAGAGGGAAGAGGGTCAGTTTCAGGAGTGGAGGCAGTATCAGTACACCTCGATGTGCATCGCCTCGGATGTCTGTGCCGTGAATGTGGCTGGCTTGACAGCCGGCACCAAGCTGCTTTACACGGTGGTGCTGCAGATTTTGAACAAGAATGCGGGGGACCTGGTCTATGCGGGAGAGGGCTCCATCGGTTCCTGCTTGGAGGGGATGAACACGGTGAACCAGGCCAACATGAGTGGCTTCAAGAAGGAAGTGCCCAACATGATGGATTTGTTTGGTACGAAGATTCAACTTGGGACCAAGAAGGTCATGGATGTGGCGGGCTTGCAGCAGCTGGAGCCCCTGGAAATGCTAAGCCAGTGTAAGAATACCTCTTCCACCGGAGTCCTCTACATCTTTAAGAACAAGTTCTGGAACAAGCAGCAGAGCTACATGAACATCTCAAAATATCAAACCGACAGCTATGACGCCGAGATGGCAGCCGACTACAAAGCGCTCATGGATTACCCCTTGCCAGGCGAGAAGAAGGAGAAGCCGTCTCAGACGCCCAAGAAGGGCAAGGACCAGAAGGACAAGAAGGACGAGGGTGACGAGATTGGCGAGGCCATCGGTGGAATCCTGGGTTCGATCTTCGGTGGCGACGAGGGCAAGGTCTCGAAAGGCAAGGGCAAGGGGGCTGCGAAGAACAAAGACGAGGGTGATGATGTAGGTGAGGTGATCGGTGATGTGCTGGGTGCTGTCTTTGGAGGTGACCAGAAATCTGATGCGTCCAAGAAGGGCCAGAAGGGAAAGGCGTCGAAGGAGGACAGTGATGGCGGCGACCTTGGGGAGGCTGTGGGTGGCATCCTGGGTGAGATTTTCGGTGACAACGACAAGGCAGGTGGCAAGGCCGAGGGAAAGGCCTCCGCAGCTGAAGAAGCTGGAGCCACCAAGGGGAAGAAGGACGAGAAGGGCGCTTTTGGCTTGCTGGAGGGCATTGGTGGTATCTTGGAGCAAATTGGTGAGGAATCCAAAAAGACTAAAGGAGGAAAGAAGCACCCCAAGGACACCGAGGAGGCCCCTGACACCGAGGAGGCTGCTTCCTCGGTCGCGCAGGTCGCCGCTCCCCCGGCCCCGACAGTGCCAAAGCTGCCAGACCTGGGAAGCGTCCTCAACACGGTGAAGACCGAGGCGACAGCAGCTGTAGCCAAGGCCAAGAGCCAGGCAGAGGCCACAGAGGCAGAGACGAAGAAGGCGGAAGAAGCCGTCACAGGCGTGGATGAGGCCAAGACGAAGGCGGAAGAAGCTGGGCAGAAGGTGGCAGATGCCATCGCCGCAGCACAGGCGAAAGCTGAAGCTGACGCAAAGGAGGCAGCCAACAAGCTCGCTGAGCAAACGAAGGAGGCACAAGCGAAGGCAGAAGCAGATGCCAAGGAGGCAGCCGAGAAGATGGCTGCTGCAGCCAAGAAGACGGCTGCCCAAACCAAGGAGACGGCAGAGAAGTTGGCAGAGCAGACCCAAAAGGCTCAGGAGAAGGCAGAAGCAGCAGCAAAGGAGATGGCCGACAACCTTGCCAAGGCCCAGAAGCAGGCAGCGGCCGATGCGAAGGAGGCAGCTGAGAAGGCAGCAGCTGACGCAAAGGCGGCTGCAAAGAAAGCGGCTGCAGCGGTGACTCCTGTAGTACCTGCAGTGCCTGAGGTCTCCGCGACCACTCAAGCCACAGAGGCTGCTGAGAAGTTGGCAGAGCAGACCCAGAAGGCTCAGGAGAAGGCGGAAGCAGCGGCAAAGGAGATGGCCGACAACCTTGCCAAGGCCCAGAAGAAAGCAGCGGCCGATGCCAAGGAGGCAGCTGAGAAGGCAGCAGCTGACGCAAAGGCGGCTGCAAAGAAAGCGGCTGCAGCGGTGACTCCTGTAGTACCTGCAGTGCCTGAGGTCTCCGCGACCACTCAAGCCACGGATGCCACTCAGAAGTTGGCAGCGCAGACCCAAAAGACTCAGGAGAAGGCGGAAGCAGCAGCAAAGGAGATTGCAGACAACCTTGCCAAGGCCCAGAAGCAGGCAGCGGCCGATGCCAAGCAGGCAGCTGAGAAGACAGCAGCTGACGCAAAGGCGGCTGCAAACAAAGCGGCTCCTGTAGTGTCTGACACATCTGAGGACAAGAAGGCAGCTGTCAAGGTGGTTAGAAAGGCCACAGACACGGTTAGGGCAGACAACTCTGCAGGAGAACAGGTCTCCCAGAAAGTCACGGAGGATGCCAAGGAGGCTGCCGAGAAGGCAGTGGCTCAGGCTCAAAACGCAGTGACCAAGAAGGCGGCAGAGGTGGAGGAGGTCGTGACCGTGACCTCGCGGCGTCTCCGAGAGGATCTCATCATCTAATTCATACCTTTTTTTTTTGCATGTCCAGCAGGTCGCGCTGAAGCACCGCGATCCCACTTTTGCCCGAGGAATTGCGATTCCGGGACCTCTCCAACGTGGGAGCAGGGTCCACATGGCACCGCCCCCTCAGTGGGGCGCCCCGTTCCGAGCTGTGCGAGCTCGTCACCGAAAAGGGATGGCGAGATCGCTGCCAAAGCCCTAACCCAGACGCTCCATGGGACTGCCATATTTACCCATTGACCCCTTTTCAACCACCCCTGGCCTGATCGGCAGTCCTATGGCAGTCCCATGGGTCGCGTCTGGGTAAGTCATGGTAAGTCGGTCGGTGTGGGATGAAACGTCGCTGGATTGAGGCGGGCCATGGCCGTGCAGGTGCCGGGATCCTGAGCACCGTGGGCTTTGCAGCAGGGCTCTGCCAGTAGAAGATGGACACAGAGAAATCCACGAGAATGATTTCACTGTTTCATGTTCATCCGAACCTCCATTGTTATTTGTTGGATTATTTTGCTGATGGGGCCCTATAGTTACGAGGCTCAAAAGCCAGAACACAACCTGGAAGAAGCACTGTTCGCGATCCCTTTTCAGTAAACTTTCCCTATGTGGCTGACTGTTGAACTGGTAGACTCCTGTAGTTGACATGATCTCCATATATCTTGGGTGGTTGATGTGGCGCATGGACGTGGCTGGTGCTGAGGCTCTTGCCATGGCGTGGCTGATCTTCACCCGTCATGCCTACAAGAAGGAGCAGTGACTTGATTTGGTCCAAAACTTGCGCGAAAAACGCTGGCGACAACGCACACCAGATCTCCTTTTGCAGTACTGTTAGCCATTTGACGCACTAGGTTACGCTAGGTTAGAGGCCATCGCTACTATAGGTTGGAGGCCATCGCTACTATAGGCTGGAGGCCATTGCTACTAAGCCGGAGGCCATTGCTTCTTGGTTGGAGGGCATTGCTACTAGGTCGGAGGCCATTGCTTCTAGGTTGGAGGCTGTTGCTACTATTAGGTTGGAGGCCTTCGCTACGAGGTTGGAGACCATCGCTTTTAGGCCATTCCTTCTAGGTTGGAGGCCATCGCTACTTGGTTGGAGGCCATCGCTATTAGCTAGAGGCCATTGCTACTGGTTGGATCACGGTTAGCCATTTGTCTTCGTCCAATCCGTTCTTTCAGGTTTGCACGGTCATAGCCGCACCCTTTCCCAGCGGGGAGGGGGAGCGACTCATGATTACCCAGCGGAGATGAACTGCGTTGAACGACGCGAGAACAAAACGATCGACATGTGACATCAGCACAGGCTCGGCACAAACACATTTCCAGCCTTGAAATAATTATGGCGAGACCAAGCTTGCCCTTCAGCACAGAAATAAGCTGTTGCACTTGCTGTGAACGGTCGTTTTCTGATCTCTTTCAATGCAAGAATTCCTTTCCCTGCAGCCTTGACCCTCTTGATTTTTGCTTTATCAATTTGTCATTTCATCATTTCATCAATTTCTACTATCCCCTATGCACAGGCTGGGGATGTCAGGGACCTCGCTTGGATCGTCTTCTCAAACACCAGGAGCAGCTGGTTGAGTTGAACCAGGAGCTCCTCAAAAAGAGACATGTCCGAAAGACACTTTACAGGCCGGTGCGTCCCAGAAAGACTACAGACCCAATGAAGACACTGGCATGAACATGGACATACATGGGTGCAGACCAAGACCAGACGTGGAATAGATAGAAAAGTAACATCCCTTTCAAAATGTATTGGAATGTATTGGAGCCCATGCCACGGTCATCTATTTGGGGACCACTATAGAGGATGCGGATGATTCGGATAATGAATCCAGACGCTTTGATGCTTTTAGTCCCTGAAACGCCGCAACGCCTGGTGGCCTGACCTGGGCTCTTCCGAAAGTGGATGATTTGGTCGGTCTTCTTTTGGTTCGCTTGAAGAGGGAAGGATCCTACAAAGGGTGAAGGGTTAAAAGGAAGCATCCAACATGGTTAAAGGTGAGCGAGCTGGGCGCATGGTGGGGCATTGCAGGTTGCCAACAGGTGTGCTGGTGTGAAAGCTGCCGGGGCCCGGGGAGGTGTTGATTCAGATTGGTCCAACGCGCAATGCATGCGTTGACTGCTTTTGTCGCACATATAACGCGTTGATGTCAACGCGTTATGCAAGGCAGTCGAACCTCCAAGACTTCGCGCAGCTCTTGCAATCCACAGGTGCGCAGTGCCTTCATGCGACTTTGCAGGTGCTCCCTAGCCACAAATGAATGCCCTCTTGTATCCTCTTGTCTGGTTAGTTTTTTGGGGATACATTTTGAGAAGCTCATCTCCATGATGCAGGTGGCGTCATCAAAGATCAGCCCCAGGCAAGGGCAGGGACCGGACATCACTTGGTCGCTCGGACCTCCAGACCGCAATCGGTGACTTCCGCTCGGTGACTTCTGACTGCGATCGGTGGATCGAAATGGGAAGGAAACGGGACCACCGACCCCCAAGCGGAGAAGATTCGAGAAGCCATGGGCCATGGGCATCGCGTCACCAACCAGGAACAGCAGCTGCCAGGTCGCGTATCGCGCATCTCGTCGATCGGTGAGATCGGCCGCAGGTTGAAAGTGAGGGCACAAAGAAAGAGCAGTGAGACGAACGATCGCCGCACCGTGGAGACGAAGCCCCGCTGGCGGAAAAGATGCGGCAACCAGAGACATCCAGAGCCAACCAGACCAGAAGACATCCAGAGCTGTTTTGGGAGAGCATTCCCGTACCTGATCATTCAATGTAACACTGCAATGTACAATTACCGAGCGAGTGTCGCCATGCTAGAAGAGCTGTTCATCATCAACCCTGTTGACAAGAACTGTGTTGGCCATGATAAAGACACGGAGAGGATCGGAGAGGTTTCTCACGCCTTGAAAACACCTGGTTTCCTTTGTCTGCGTCGGATTCCGGCGCAGTCTCAAGGATCACTCACACAAGTTGGAGGTTTCCTCACAAATTTGTGGTCATTCGTATTGTTTTCACCCAGCGGAGTTCAATCCCAACGGCTTGGGAACTTTTTGGAGAAGGGGGGGGGCAGGGCGGAGCCTTAAACGGAAATTAATATATACAATGTTTATTTTGGTTGCAATGACCCCTCATTCCTTCCCTTTCAAACAGACTTCGTCGACACTTTCTGATTTTCTTTCCATGCTGTTGACACCTTCTTTCAGGAATTGCCACCTCCCGGCAGGTGGTGGCCATCCTCCGTGGCCGTCCAGTGGGAGATGACGTCATCGGTTCCTTGGTAGTCCTTGGGGTGAGACATGGCTTGCTCAATGTCTCACCTAGTTGGAACTTGGAACACATGGAAACATACCCTCCCTGAAATGATCATGGAAGTGGAGCCATTGATCCACGTAAACATACGATGTTTTTGTGGCAGAGGCTATGATTGTAACGGAACCTCTTTGCGTTTGGATCGGTGAGTGACGGGCGTTTCCTCTGGGGCAAAAGAACGCCACACAATGGGATTCGAAGAACCGGGCACTGGGCCCCGCACCCCTGCGAACCGGCGACAGCGACCTCGAGGCTTCACTGACTTCCTGGCCGCCAGCCTCCCACGTGTCTTCTCCCACTGGAAGGCGGGCGGGCGGGGCGATTTGCTCGCGGTGAGACCCCCAGCTCCGGCCAGACCCAAACAGGGCCTGTCTGGCCGGGCCAAGTGTCGAAGGGCCGACTGTTGTGTCGTGTCTCTGGGTGTGACACGACACGACAAGTTGCAGAAGCTCGAGGTGACCGGGCTGATCGGCAACTTGACCTGCTTTGATCCAAAATACAGCAACTTGACCGTGAAAGAGAGCTGAAAGGGGCAGCAACACCTAGGCGCACCAAATTGTTGGAGGATGAGGGACTTACTTTCCACTTAGAGAGATGCTCACATGTAAATGGTTTTTCTTTATCAAACACACTGTGCAATTGTTGGATCCCATTGGTGAAAGGCGACACCAATCGTGCAGGAAAGACTTAAAACAACCAAGGAATCAAGTCACCAATACAAGTGAAAGGAGAAACCCAGACGCTCCAAACAGCCCTTGGTCCCTCAAAACCCTAGGGAATGGTTCGACCCCAGACCCCTCCATATGAGGGCCCAGGGTCGCGTCTGGGAAGGAGATGTTTTCGATCCTGTGGCCCCTTGAACCGATGCGCTATGACGAACGCATCATTTGCCCTTGCAACGCTACGTGTGAAGCTTAGATACGTTTACATCCAGTCAATGGGACATGTCGATGAACTGGTGGTTGATGGGTTGCCACAGTTACAAGATGAACGATTTTGAGGGCACCGAAATCGTCCAATCCGATGGTACAAGTTGTTCTTGAAGTTGTGTCACACCATGTCACACCTATGTCAACTCCGTTTTTTTTTTTTTTCGGAGACCGCCCCGAGCAGATTGGGTTGTTGAAACTAGGATGTTTGCTCTTTGTTGTCTGGACCCCACACTGTTTTTTTAGATATCGGACTACCAACTTCTTTGTAACATCAAAAAGGCCGCCGTAAATAGAACATGGTCCTTTTGCCACTCGCTTATGATGCATGGGACTGAGCCGAGTCCCAAAGGCTTTCGAGCCTCTCTTGGTATTGCTCTTGGTACTATCGATTATTGTGCTGTTTGATGCGTAGTGTATTTATGCACGTTCGGCTGATTTCTCTTTTTATTATGTATTTTTGGTGGAGTGTTTTGTTTCACCTATTTCTTACAGCTTTGCAAGCTTAGTAATTCCTCGTCTCTATTGACCTATCCTTCTTCCGCGTGGCTGTTGGGAGCCCGTTTGTGCTCGCGAGAAACAAGAAAACATCTATGAATGACTGGGGGCTGAGAACCCGGCGCAGCCAGATCATGTCGCGGCAGGCGATGTCCATCATAGTACCCGTGACGGTGTTTCACCCATGACTAATGTATACTAATGTTATCCAAATGTTTCTTTTTTGTGGAATATTATCCCCCTTAGAATATCCACTACAGAATGAAATTCCATCGTCTCCATGGGTATCTGAAGGGGGATGGACTAGTTCTTTTCATGATGGGCTTCACTCCACCGCTTGAACCCCTCGATGGGCGCGGCGCACCAGGAGGGCCACTGTCGAAAGGCCTTCCGGATCTTCGATCGCAACGGCGACGGGTGCACCGGAGGGACCGGCGGGACCGGGTAGGGACGGTAGCGACTGGCGGTGCTTGGAGACATGTTCCGGAGGTCGTGTTTTTCGGAGACCCTCAACTACGGTCCGGAATGGCTGACCTCGGGTCTGACCTGCCAAGAGCGGGTTTGCAGGTGGTTGAGAGTACGGAGATGGAAGACGCAGGTGTGAGATCGTTTAGACCTCTTTCTAAAACTGAAGCAACTATATTATGGACCCCCGAATAGATAAACAAGCAGAAACCCACTAAGAATGTCTTGGACACCGTGCCACGATCTCTTGGGGGGACCACTATATATTATATAATTCCCCAGGGATCCAGTCGTACCTTCTCAGGTACGGTGATTGGAGACTATTTATATGCAGGCTTGGAGGGCCCAAGTACCTCCTGAGAAGGTGGCAGTGGATCCCTAGGGATTCTCTCCCTCCCGTTTCGTCTTCTCCTCCGGCTCACAGAGCGACCGGCGCGAGCGCCGCTCGCCCGACGCGAGGTACATCGATGCCAAGGAGCTGGAGTTGGTCCTCCGACGCGAAGGCGGCGCAAGCGGAGATCGATCGGTCCGTGGTCGGTGGAGATCGTCCGCGGATGGGGGAGGCGATCGGGCCGCAGGGCGCAGCAGGGCGCAGCAGGGCGCAGCAGGGCGCAGCAGGGCGCAGCAGGGCGCAGCAGCTGGCGACCTGGAAGCTCTCACGAAACTGAAGTGGCACACCCTAAGCACGACCCATGGGACTGGTCTATTTACCGATCAGTTGGGGTCCGTGGTGCCAGTTCTGGGTCGGGGCGGCAGTCCGACAGACATCGGTCGTGTGGACAGGAGACCGATCCCAAGCTATTGGGAGATGGAGGAGATCCTAAGCTGTTGGGGTCGGTCCCCCTGCCGGTCACGTGTGGCAGTCCCACGCGATCCCGGTGGTGGTGGTTCTCCCTGCAGTGGGGGAGGATCGTGGCACGGTGGAACTATAGATTTTGAGTGGGGATCTATATATACTTGGGGGTCTTACTTTTACTGCAAGATGGCACCGCTTCGTGCTTCGGAATGAATTAGACATGGAGTAAGCGCGCAGGCGCTTACTCCATCAGGCACTGAATTGTGTGTGTGTGTGTGTCGCGTTTGCGAAGAGCAGGTTAGGTGCTCACTGCGACATGGCTTTGTGTCCTTCTAGCCGATGGCCGCGGTGGAAAGCATGCTAGGTGCTTCCTGCAACATTGCCTTCCAGCCGAACGTATATACAAATTCGAGCGGCATGCACAAGCTTGGACACGTTGCAACTTCGATGCTGGCGCTTGCAGGTGCGACAAAAGATGAAAAGGCAACTTTTCTCAGTGAAATCTCTTTGCCATTGCCATGAGCCGATGCGGCTGTGGAATACCTTGGAGGTGTTGGCTGAAGCCAACACGTTCTGGTTTTCCATGCAACTTGCATGGGAGCCCTTCCAAGGCCCAGGCCAATCCCCCAATCTCATGATGTTTGTGGAGATTGCCTAGGGTGAATGTGGACAAATATGGAAACGGCACCCCTGGAGCAACGGGGGGTCTCATAAGAGAACAATGTCCTTGTGTGGAAGAAACCAGCCTATTTGCTAAGCTGGAGCTTCTGTTGGAGTAGCGTCCTTGCTCCTACCTAGTAGCGATGCCCTTGGTTCCAAGAAAGCAATGCCCGAGTTCGTTACGTTCGTAGCTTCGGAAGTTCCGTTCGTGTTCGGCGACCCGAACGACCAAGCCTCAGATGTCTTTCCTTCCCATCGGGTCAACCCGTCCGGAGCTCTAGGCGAAGAAACCCACATCGAGGCGCCCGGAGCGCGTCACGCGCCCGCTTGGGCGGTTCGCGCGCAGAAGGAGCGCCGGACGTAGTGGGCGAAGCGCGACGGATCTTTCACTCGAATGAAAGACATGAGAGGGTGGGTCCGCCACACATAGTTTGGACCGACCAAGGTGAAACACAACGACCTGCCGGAACATGGCCCTCAACGGTGCGGATTCCACGTGTCGGTTCTTGGGAGGCCTTCTCCTCGATGCTGCACGAGGCGGCGGATTCCAAGCAGGTGAGCTACAAGGACCTGCAGGACGAAAGACAAAACATGGCGAACGCAAGTTGTGGGGAAGCGACCATGGTTCGTTTGAGTGGGCCTTTTTGTTCAGAACGAACCCCAAACAAAGTAATGCCAACACAACGGCCCTCCCCTTCAAGGTCAACAAGGTTTGAGATTGGAGGTATTGGAGACCACTATCCCCCTAATGACGGTGATGACCCGATGATGGATGATGGTTACCATGATGCCTGTGCAAGGGGTACCCTTTGTGAGCTTGAACATCTTGAGGTTTTGATAGACCTAAGGGAAAATGAAAGAGTTTTGCTAGAGAGCTTTTAGGGATTGTGGAACAATGGAGAAAGACAGTAAATAAGAATGATGAATTACAATAGCATTCTTTTTATACTGTATTTTTTTTTTGGGGGGGCAGCTGGGCTTGATTAATAGGGGAGGGGTTTCTGCAAAAGACATAATGGTAGGGTGATGGGCATGTGGAATTCAGGTGTTCAATTAGTTTAGTATTGGGGGAGCTGGGCTTGATTGACAGGGGGTGGCTACTTAATCCTGTGTCAACATTACTGCATATTACTTTTTTGGGGTTCCTGACCATTCGGAATTCGTGTTACTTTTGTTTTGATTCCATTTGAATGGGCGCAACATCATCCAAAACGTTCCGATTTGATTTTGGTGTTTCTGGCGTGTCGCAGCTGAAGTATCTTGTTGATGCCCTCCGGCTGGATGGGCGGATGCGGCTGGATGACATGGGCGGATGACCAAAAGGAACAACTGAGATCAACGGTAGTGTGCTACTGCACTGGCAGTGGGTCAAAACCTGGAGGCCCCAAACCTGTCAACCAGGGAATCTCCCAGTGGAATGACCACCAACTGGTGCTTGCTTTCTTCCACAGACCGGTCTCTGATTGATATAATGTGTCTTTTTGTGGCTGCGTTGGGTACACTCTGACTCACTAACATGGAAGTGGATGGCATGGCCCCTTGGAAGACTACTTTCCTCTACAAACAGTGGGATTTCCACTTCCATGTGATGTGTTCGTCACGTTCGTGGCTTGTGACCAGCCCGCCGGTGTTTGGCCCTAGAGATTTCTTGGAGACGTGGCGAAGCGGCGCGAAGCGTTTGGAACGCAAAAACACTCCGGGCCGATCAGGGCCTCACACCTGTGCAACTCTGAACATGGTTGGAACGCATTTGGTGTGCATGTCTGATCGAACGGATCTGAACGGATCTGGCCCTTCGGAAGAGGAAGAGGGGAAAGGGGAAAGCCGCGTTTGCGGAGATGACTTTAGTCCCCCCAAAGCAAAGCTGGTTGAACAAGAACTGCCTTGCAGGAAGTTCAACATGTTTTTTGCGACACCAAAAACTTGCAAATCCGCCGACCAACAACAACAGCAACAACCATGCGCCTTTTGGGTTGTTTTCCGAGCTTTGACGAGCGCGCAGGACTTTGTGAAATTTGTGAAACAGGGCGCTAGCTTGGAGCTTTGATGAGCTTTGAGCGGTTTCACCCGGATTTTTGAGCGGGAAATCGGCCCCCCATCGAGAAAGACTGCTTCGGAATGACATGAGACAACATGAGACCCATGGGATATTTTGAATTATGCCATTTTTCTTTTACATGCGTTGGGGCTCAGAAACATGGATTGGACATTTAGGACCGAAATTGAAACCAAAACGATCTCGGCCAATCTCCGAATAAAGAATTCGGAGAAAGAATTGCTCAGATGGATTCCACTTCAATGATGCTTTGCCAAAGGGCAGGATCAAATGGAGATGGATTGCACCTGGAGTGTCTCGCTGGAGAGTCCTGGAGCAGGCCGCCTGGCCATCTGTGGACAAAAGGGGTATACCATCCATACAAGTAACATTAAGTAACTATTCGATACAATGTATATAATGACATTTTACGACATTTCATGACCCCAATGTAAGTAATTATTCCATACTATGGATAATCTGGGTTCACAAATCACGACCGATGGGACTGGCATATGACTCCCGATGGTGGTTTGAGGGGTCAAAGTAGTAACAGAAGAGATTGGTTCTAGGATGCAACCAATGCAGTGATTTGCAGGCGGCCCAGAGTCCTCGTGAAAGCCTCGGGGTTGATACTGTTTCTTTTTGGAGGGGTATCTTTTTTTTGATTTTTTTTTCTGGCGCCTTTTGGCTTTTGGTGGCTTTTTGGCTTTTGGTGGCTTTTGGCTTTTGGTGGCTTTTGGCTTTTGGTGGCTTTTGGCTTTTGCTTCTTTGTTGGCCTTTGGTGGCTTCTGTTGGCTTTTGGCTTTTGTGGCTTTTTTGGCTTCCCTTGCTTCGACGGCTGTCGTGCTGGAGCTTACAAAGCTGTGCTGCCAGGAAGGAAGGAAGGAAGGAAGGAAGGAGGGAGGGAGGGAGGGAAGGAAGCAAGCAAGCAAGCAAGGAAGGAAGGAAGGAAGGAAAGACGGCAGCAAGAAAGGAAGGAAGGAAGGAAAGAAGGCAGCAAGAAAGGAAGAAAGGAAGGACGATGAGCAGAGTGCTGCTGCAGGTGGCCAGCTTGCAAAGCTGTGCTGCCTGTAGTGGCCAGTGTCGTGAAGGAAAAGGAAAAGGCAGGAAAAGGCAGGAAAAAAGGAAAAGCAAAAAGGAAAAGGAAACAGGCAAAGGACAAGAAAAAAGGAACACGGAAAAGGAAAAGGAAAAAGGAAAAGGAAAAGGAAAAGGGAAAAGGAAAAGCAAACAGAATCAATGGAAAACAACCGAAAACACATAACTATAACAAAACACAAAATCAAACAATAAATCCGCAGCCTTTCTTTTTTATGTGTGTGTGTATGTTGGCTCTACCTAATACATGAAGATCAAAGAAGACGCTCGCCACGAGCCATGGACTCAGCAAAAAATGCCCTCCCGATCCGTGAATGTCCGGTTTCGGAAGCGGAACAGTCGCCTAGACCATGTGTGAGACTGGACGATTGTGCCGCCCCATTGACGCTCTGGGTCGAACAATTCGTCGGTCGCGGATGTCGGGGTTCACCTGGTGCCGTGACTGCTGACAGGTCCCTCTGGACCGACCAAATCTCCGAAAAGACCCGCGTTCCACACGCCCCGGCACTGAAGTGTTGTGTGGATTCTTGTGGACGCTGGGGCGGAATTCATGTGGGGATGGCCAAACTTGCGGGGCATGATCTGGTCGAGTTGTTGTTTCCTTACAGACCAACATATTCAATATTCTATGCCCTAATCGAGGCTCCGGGTTTTTGAGCATCCCTGCCTAGAGCCATTTGCGATGATTGGCATGAATGGCTGTTGAAAGATCTGGGACAGTGAGAAGGGAAGGGAGACTTGGCGTGGCCAGGCCGAAGGAGCAACCGTGGATGAAGGTTTCCAACGACGACATCCATGTACGAACGGAGTTGCGGAGTAGTGGGGAGAAAGATTTTACACAGATGATCAACGTACCCAGACACTCCATGTATGCCATATATGCCTACATTGACCCCTGAAACCACCCCAATGTAGGCCTATATGGCACACATGGAGTGTCTGGGATATAAGAAAAACCACAAAAACCACTCGCCACGTCATCACTCGCTACTCTTCCAATAAAAGCAAACGACCAACCCGTTGGGGCACAGGACGCCTTCTTTGTGCCCGTTTTCGTAGGGCTTTCGGTGGACCATTCAGACAAGCTTGGCCTAACCGGGCCAAGCGAACGACCATCAGTCAGTGTGGCTTGCTGGCTGGTTTTGCTGTTGGAAGCATGTTTGCGTGACTGGTTTGTAGTCTTGTGCAGCGTAAATTGATCGAGATGAGTTCATAGTTTGAATATGTGAGGTAGACTCATTTGTAGCGATGGCTTTGTCAATGAGTCGGAAACTGGGGAAGTCACTTCTGCTGTTCAGCTTTTGGTACATGGAATGCCTCCTGCAGGCATTCGTACCAGGTGCACTCGTGAATGCAAGGCAGTCTGCGCAAACACGGTTGGCAGCTGAATCCAAGAAACGGCAGTTCCCTCCGTTGACAAGTCCGCAAATCCTGAAGAACACGTGTTCGTTCCCTTGGAAGGTTATGGACAGAAGATAGAGGATTTGTTTGAAGGAGAGGAGTTTGCGTTTGTTCGTGGAGGTGTTGGCGTGGGCAAAAGCACTTTGCGCTTGCACCTGGCACGGCAAAACCCGAAGTTTGTTAGTGTTCCTTTTGGTGATGGAAAGTATTGTGAAAACCATTATGACTGCGATGCAGAGGAGTGTCAGAAAGGATGAGATGCAACTTGAGGATGCAGTTTGCCTAGCGCATGCAAACAATCTGACACTGGTACTAGATGAAGCCCATACTATCTTCAACCTCCCGGACCTTTGTGTGCTGCTTTTCAAGAGTGACACTCACCCCAAGTTGCTCTTGTTATCAGCATCAGGCGAGGGAAAGGGTAGCAGGGCAGTCACACCTTCCGAGATCAAACAGAAGTTCTTTTGGACTCCTCCTGTCCCTGAAACGGAGGATGCTCTTGATGAACTTGTCAAGGGGTTGAATGAGGCAGGCGTACACCTAGATGCAAGAAGCGTGGCTTTCTTCCTCAAATTTTGCGGCGGGCACCGATCAATTTATGTTGCCGCGATGAGATGGGTCAAACAGATGCAAGATGAGACAAGTCATTGGGCATTTAGAGACACAGTCGCAAAAGTTCGAGCCAGCATTAGCGATGGCAGTTGGGCAACTGGCACGATCTTGGGTGCACTTGCTGAATCACGAGGAGTGAAGGTGAATGGGAGATACAGTGACCTTGACGTAGTGCAAAAAGAATTCATACAACGTCTTTGTGAAGGCCCAGGTAATCTTTCTAAGGAGATACGGCGTGAGTTGACCATCCAGGGATTTGTCATCCCGGTCTCGGAAGGTAATGATGAGTTCCAGAGAGTAGATTGGACAAGACCAGGTGCCACGTATGCTGTTGCCAATCCAATTCTGGCTTCCTACTACAGGCATCAATTACAGAACTTTTGTGGATTGAAAGTGCATGTTGAACCGTTTGTGCCAGTCAATTGTTTGGATCTATTGCTTCGCGCAATTCCATGTCTGACTTTTGCACAGGTGGTCTCCTTTGCCGCAGACCTTGAATCAAATTCCTCTCTGTCAGGGTCAGACTTGCCGTATGAAGAGCAATACAATGCTGCCATCCTACATGCTCTGCAAAGATTGGGGTATCAGGCTTCTGCACCTTTAACCCCCCGCAATGGCAAAGTTGATGTACTGGTGCAGATTAACCAGATGGCTTTCAGCTTGGAATGCATCATGGCAAATCGTGGCCAGGAAAGCCACATTGAGCATCGCAATCGCTTCGACAATGAAAACCTGACAAACTATTTCAAGGCTGACCACAAGGCACTGGTCACAATCGGAAGTACAAATGTTGCGCGTAAACGAGTCAATGAGACAAGAGCTGATGGTGTGGAGATCGTCGGTTTGATGCCAAACATTGCGCATACTGGCTACCACGTTCTGTACCGTGGCCTGGGGCCCAAAACAACCGAGCAGATCAAGCGTTTCGCATGTTTTCAACTACGTCTATGTTTTTTATGCTCGCTTCGAAGAATTCCAAACGAGTGTGTAGAATCATTCCCTTATTTTGTTCGGAAAGGTGCCGCTGAGGGTACAGATTTGGTGGAGTACTATGTCGAGTGCGACCTTGTAGCACGTGCGTTGGACCATGATCGAATCCGCTGCATCCAGAAGATTTCGCACATCAACCCACCTGGGAAACCTCCACGCTTCTTGGCAAACATGCCGTCATGTACGATTGCAAGTTTTATTATACTGATTGTTTTTTTGGAGATTTCAGAGCTTTCACATGGATTACCCGGATACAGCATTTGAATTAGATCAAGTTGAATGTAAACGTACCTTTTTCTTTGACACTACCAACATACGCAAACAAAAAACACATGATGCAAAGTAAATGATTCAAGGCCTTGTCTCCCTTGGTTTTTATAGATTCTTCACTCCTAAGGTCTAGACCAAGCCTTTGGAACCCAGACCAAAGCTGTTTGGGTGAGGCAACTGCAGCAGGACCGCTCTTAAGAGGAAAACTCTGTTGGTTTTGGGTTCACATTCAGTTTCGGAAGTTTATGTGGCCATATCTTCCCAACATTTATAGACTAAAGACTTTATAACTTTGTATGATTTTCTGCCATTCCCTTGTTCCTTTGCTGTGCCCTTTGGTAAGTAAATGCGAGTAGAACACGGTTGGAAAGGGTTGAGTTTGAATGTCTCGGCTGTTGATTGCAGCAGGACCGCTCTTTCTAAGAGCAACTCTGTTGGTTTTGGGTAATTAGACATTCAGTTTCGGAAGTTCATGACTATAAGGTATTAAACAATAAGCTACTAGGAACAAGTGCCTTACTAGTAGTAACAGGTGCCTTACTACTAGTAACAAGAAGCTATTAAAAAACAAGCTACTAGGAACACGTGCCTTACTAGGTGCCTTACTACTAGTAACAAGAAGCTATTAAAAGCAATAAGCTACTAGGAACAAGTGCCTTACTAGTAGTAACAGGTGCCTTACTACTAGTAACAAGAAGCTATTAAAAAACAAGCTACTAGGAACACGTGCCTTACTAGGTGCCTTACTACTAGTAACAAGAAGCTATTAAAGGCAATGAGCTACTAGGAACAAGTGCCTTACTAGTAGTAACAGGTGCCTTACTACTAGTAACAAGAAGCTATTAAAAACAATAAGCTACTAGGAACAAGTGCCTTACTAGTAGTAACAGGTGCCTTACTACTAGTAACAAGAAGCTATTAAAAACATTAAGCTACTAGGAACAAGTGCCTTACTAGTAGTAACAGGTGCCTTACTACTAGTAACAAGAAGCTATTAAAAACATTAAGCTACTAGGAACAACTGCCTTACTAGTAGTAACAGGTGCCTTACTACTAGTAACAAGAAGCTAGTAGACATTCGTCGAGTCCCGATAGTCGAATTCGGTTGAGTTCTCCAAAGCCGTCATTCGAACAAGTTTGACGAATGTTTCCATCTCGCACTACTAGCGTGGTACCTGTTACTACTAGCGTGGCACTTGTTACTATTCGTCAGAAGCTTTCATTCATTCCTCTTTGCATGTTTCTTGTTCTACCAGTTTATGAGTCGGGTGTCAATAAAGGTAGGGTGGTGTTTCATTACTTCTCGCACTTGCTTTGTGTTAAAGGCGGTTTGTTTAGAACCAGTACTGTATTATTTTTCGGCCATGCTTGGGAAGAATGTCATAGGCCTTCCATGTCCTGCCATTCATGCCAACTTCAAGCTTCCTTCTTGATTTCTTTGCTTCAGCTTTGCGTTCAAAAGAAGTAGGGAATAGATTTGTTCCATTCAGAACGCAAGAAGCCATGGTATTCTTTTTCATGCCGGTTGTTCCCTCATCAAGCGTTTTTGCCAAACAAGTTCGAACGATCTCCCACCCCAACATCAAATGCCTTGAGAGTTGCTTTGTAGGCACGACTCGATGTCGCATGCTCGTTCTCAAGCTTTATGGATCAGGTTTGGCAGGCCCTCCGGTTCCTGATAGCCGGAGCCAACAGCAATTGGTGGGGACTCGGTTGCCCTGCCCATTGCTCTCCCTCGGGCCTCCCTTTGCTCTTGAGCTTCCTGTGCCTTGGCTTTCTTTGCGGCACCCTGCTCACTCTCCTCTTGGGCCTCTACCTCGGCCTCTTTGGCTTGCCATCATTCTCATCTCATCCTCTGAGGGTCGACAGCCCCTCGGCTCCTTCTCGACGGCTGCAGGCCTACTTGTATGGTGGACAAGTCCAACGCCGAGGAGGTCGCGTTGGAGATTGAATTCCAGGGCCATTCCATTGCTGTCAAAGGTCCAGCTGGCAACGCAGCTCGCTTCGTGCAAGGCCTTGCTTCCAGCACTACTGATCCTCCTGCATCTCCTGCTCGCCCTCGTTCAGGTTACTCGGAGGACTTTGAGATCGCGCCGGCGGCGACCAAGTCATCGGCCCCAAGGCCCTCGAGTGCTCCAGAGCCAGCAAGAAGGCTCGAGACTCGTGCTGAGATTGAGGCAAGCTTTTCACCTTGCCCTCCTTCTGTGTTGTCTTTGGCCTCTCGACTGTCATCTACTTCCAAGTTCTCTGGTGCAGACCGCATCAAGCGAGCCTATCTGGCCGGTCAGTGGGCAGGAGCAAAGATTCAGGAGAGGGTGCAGAGCCCAAACAGGACACCTACGATTGAGCTTGCAAACCGCACCTACGTGGTTCTACGATCGTCAAGGTCGTCCAGCCCTCGAATTTTCAGCACCTCCAAGAGCTTCTTTGCGGAGGTGGGAGACCTTTCGAACCCTGTCAACGTCTGCCACGGATTCGCAAGTGAGGCCGAGGCAAGGGCCTACGTCCTTGGAGCTGGGGAGACGTACCCCCTGTGAGGGTGCTTTGAGTCATGCCCAATATGGAGAAGCTGATGCCGCTCTTCGCGGAAGCAGGGTTCCCGGGGATGCAGCCCATATATGTGCTGAGCCTTGGAGATCCAGGAGCTGGAGTTGGCGTGGATGGTATGACCCTGGCTTTCCTGGTGATGACACGGGAGGAGGGTTGCCTATGGGCTTTGCCAGAGGGGTCGGTCCTGGATGCTCGGCTGGAGGCTGGGCAGTTGGCAGACCAGTTCTCGATGATTGGACCTTCAATTACAGTGGAGGTGGCTGCAGCGGCTTTGGCGGAGGAGTCCCCTTTGATGGACCCTTTGAACCTTCCCGGAAGGAAGCTGCAGGTGACTCTCATAAACACCACGATGGAGATCCTTTCTTTTGTCGAGGAAGTGGTCGACCACCACGACTTGGAGGGAGTAGTTCCTTTCACCTCGGAGGACCCCAAGATCATTCCGTTGCCAGAGGACTTGATAGCGGCAGCTCAAGGTTGGCTCATGTCCCAGTCAAATCCAGATCGCCTTCTTTTCTACTCGGCTCAGGAGGAGGAGGTCGAAGTGGCAGAGCAGTTGGCAGAAGAAGGAGAAGTAGAGTTGATCCCTGGAACTCCTCGCCGTCGTCGTTCTGGCGTGCAAGACAAGCCAAGAGAGCAGGCCCCAAAGAAGACACCTCGAGCGACAGTGGCAAGCCTTGCCGAAGCCCTGGCCAGCATTCAGTCTGTTCTTCCTCAACTCTCCAGTCAGATGCAGGATCTTTCCGAGAGGACGGCTCGCATCGAATCAGGAGCTGTCAATGCACTGGGAGCTACGTCCAGACCCTCTGCCTTGAAGAAGCCCTTAGCTACATCAGTTGGAGGTGGATCCTCGAATGCTGCTCCCTTGGGGGCCTTTGGTGAACGACATGCCACCGCCCAGAAGTATATCTTTTGGGAGCCGGCCTACATCTCTGGGCATTCAACAGAAGGAGGCAGAGGAGGCAGCGCTGGAGTTGAAAGAGGGAGGAGAGAACGACTTGGCAAAAGCGGTCCTAGAGCAAAGCAGAGCCCTGACGCAGTTGGTTGGCCAGATAGCTTCATCCTCCGGAGATCCTATGACAGATCTGGGTGCCAGCGGCTCTTCTGTGTCTTCAAAGGGGGCAATAGGGAGAGCAAAGCTTCAGCAGGAGCTAGCATTGCACAAAGGAGTCTTCTTCCAATCGGTGCTCCAGCAGATGTCAAGAAGGATGGCCCCTGCCACTTCAGCAGACCTTCCAGCTCTTCAACTACGGGATCAGGGGGTGATGGCCACGAGGTGCCTCGAAAGGTTCGGGGGCTTCGGAAAGTTCAAGGAGCACGGCTTCATTGTTTGGCAAGTGGCCATGGTGATGGACTTCATAACATGTTGCCCTTCGCCTTCCCTGAGAGTTGGTTTCAGGGTTTTGATGAGCTTGAGGTCTTCTACAAGGAGCTTCGAGAGCCCACCAGTCGAGAGAAGCATGGAGACCAGTTGGGTCGGAGGCGTACTCCCCTTCTTGTCGGGCAGTGTCTGGACTTCGTCTACGTCGGCTTCAAGAGTCTCTTCCAAGGAGATCATTTGGGGGTTGAGTATGCCCTCCAAAGCCACTCTTCTTTGTTGGAATGGGGAGGCCTGTCCGAAGGTCGTGTGATCAAGAGGAATTGCTCCTTCCCTGTTCTTGCGGCTTTCCCCGTGATTTCAAGAGGAATAGCTTCACGGCTTGCAGGAAACTGGACCTCTGTGCTTATGTTCAGGCGTTGCCTTACATGCATTTTGGATGGCGTCTTCCAGCTTGGAAACACTTCAGCAGCAACAGCAGATGAGGTCATTACATTGCCCCGCTCTATAGCTGAGGAGTTGGTTCTGGCATCCATTGCATCTTTCCTGGCTGTCGCTGACGTCAGTGTCCCCTATATGACACGAAGGTCTATGCCACAGATGCTTCTACATGGGGGGGGAGCTGTTGTTCAGACCGCAGTAGAGGAGGAGGTTGCAAAGCGCCTTTGGCTTGGTGGCGATCGAAAGGGAGCCTATACTCAGCTAGATTGTGGAGCTTCCGCCGCCCTGAGGATTCTGGGTGAGGAGACAGAGGCTGAAAGGGGGTTTGACGTCCCCTTCCAGAGCTTCCATCCCAAGAAGGTGCTGGATTTTTGCTTTGACTTCGTTGAGATTTGTGGGGGCTCAGGTGTTCTTTCTGAGGCTATGGCGGAGAGAGGTTTCAGAGTCTGCACACCCATCGACTTGAGTCAGAGCCCAGCCTTCGACCTCGGTTCTGAGAAGCTCTTGGACGGGATCTTTCAGATGATTGCAGAAAAGCGCTTCAGGAGCCTTGCACTTGAGCCGCCTTGTACGACCTTCTCACCGGCACAGTATCCTGCTTCCAGGAGTTATGACAATCCTCTTGGCTTTGACCGCAAGGAGAAGAAGACCTACCTGGGAAACCTCCTTGCCTTTAGATGTTTGACGATAGCATGGTTTGCTTGGAGATTTGACCTCCCGTCTCTTTTGGAGCAGCCTCGTTTGAGCAAGATGGCATGGCTTCGTGCATGGCGCTATCTGCTTTCCCTTGGCTTTGAGGAGGCAACCCTGGCGTCCTGCATGCTTGGGTCTATACACAAGAAGGAGTTCCGCCTGTTAGTCTATGGCCTCAATGCAGACCAGCTCACAGTGAGATGCTCAGGAGGTCATCAGCGTGTGAGGATTGAGGGCAAGTATACAAAAGCCAGTGCAATCTACGCCCCTGGAGTTGCAAATCTCATTGCGGACTGCTTCACGAAGGCTCTGAGTGCAAGGGTGAATCAAGAGGGCCTCTCAGTCAGTGGTTTGGAGTCGGTGATCATCAACGATTTTCTTCTCTCAAGAACATGGACTACTACATCGGTATGGGCCTGGAAGCATCTTGGGCACATCAATGTGTTGGAAAGCCACGCCTATGTTGCTCTCCTCAATGCTTTGGCAAAGAGAGGTGGTTCACTCCGCTTCAACGCCTTCTTGGATAGCAGGGTGGCAAAGGGTGCTCATTATGGGAAAGGTCGGTCGTCAGCAAGGTCTTTGAAGAGATCCCTCAAGAAGGCCAGCGCTTTGACAATTGCAGGAAACCTTCACCCGTCCTTTGTTTGCTCCTACAAGGTTGAACACAGCCGATGCACCCACTCGTCACCGAGATCGCCCACTACACATTCTATTGTGGATCATCTTTGCCCTGAGGAGGTTGCAGCCGTCCATGCCTTGCAGTTCTCGAAGGCGGCATCTAGTTGGATTCGGCTTGTCCTGCTGGCTTCCATTTGCCTTTCCCCTGCTGGAGCATGCTCAGAGGCTCTAGTTGGACTTCCTTCGCCCCGTGGACTTTCACTGTGGACTTCATGACCCTACTTGGGTCCGTCTTTGGACTTTGTGCATCTCTGTCCATCAGCTGCTTCTCCCTGCTCACCTTCTTGGCTCCGGCTATCAGTTCTTCGAACAATCGAAGACATCCGTCTCTTTCCCTCCTGGCCTTCCTCATCCTTCTCTGCCTCTCGGCAGGGCCTGGACACGAACGACAGAGGGCCTGCCCGGGTTGTAGGAGCCGTTTTGCCCCCTTAGGTGGTTTTCCGGCCGCGCATGCCATGCCATTGCAGCCCCGAGGAACCGAAGATCTGAATTAAGAGAGCTGGAGCCAGAGCTGGCACGATTTTGGCAGCTGACCGGGTGCTCCAGCAGAGAACTAGGAGCCACCGTGATGCCCTGATGCAGGACTTCGATGTTTGGCTGGTTGAGCATTTTCACACCACCCTGTCCGCTTTGTTGGATTCTATAGGACGTGTGACCCACAGCTGGTCAATGAAGCATTGGTTGCATTTGGTAAAGAGATGTTTTTTGCAGGCCGACCGTACGGCAGGTTTTCAGAGACGATCAATGCAGTGGCTCAGCGGAGGCCCGCGCTGAGAAAGCAGTTGGCCATGGCTTGGGACCTGGCTTTCAACTGGGCAGTCGACGAACCTCGAGAACATCATCCCGCACTTCCCCTCCCTGTGTTGTTGGCGATATCAGGGTTGGCATTGTTGTGGGGTTGGTCGACAGAAGCTGCAATCTTTTGTTTGGCTTGGTCGGGGTTGCTTCGTATAGGAGAAGTTTTTGCTGCGAGGAGGGCAGATTTGATTCTGCCCTTCGAAGCCTCGCCTGGGTTTCAGAGCTTGATACTTCGTATACGGCAACCCAAAACAAGGGGCTGTGCCGCAAGGCACCAGTGCTCAAGAGTTGACCACCCTGACGTTGTGCAGTTGGTGACCTCAGTGTTCAAGTTCATCGATAAGGGCGCTTTGCTTTGGCCGTGTGCACCAGCTACCTTGCGGAGGAGGTTCGCACAGTTGCAGCAAGCACTTGGCCTCGAAACCACTCGACGAGAAGGCTTCTCTCCATATAGCCTGGCAAGTTTCAGGCCAGGAGGTGCCACGTTCCTCCTGCAGGAGACAGAGGACTCTGAGTTGGTGCGTCGCAAGGGTAGATGGTTGTCCACCCGTGTGCTCGAAGTTTACCTTCAGGAAGCTGGAGTAGCTACCTATGGATCCTGCCTGTCCGAGAAGACCCAAAGCCGAATTTTGACCTTGGCAGGACACTTTGAGCACATCCTCAAGAAGGCCCTCTACTTCCGGGAGTCCCACATCCCGGAGAAGGCCTGGCCACACCTATGGTAAAGCAGGAAAGGTTGGAAAGAGTGGCTTAAAGTTGTGAGGGGCTTTTGGCCAGATGGCCCGCCTCCTCCACAGAGCTGCAACCATGTGGAGAAA